CTCAAGCAGTGTCAAATGCAATAGATGGTGGGAAAGGAGAGGAGACGTCTCAAAGCCAAGACATATACAGTTCAGAATTACTCCGACCTACACTTTTTGTTCTTCCATCACCTTCTATACTTGTCGGGTATGTATGATTAGCAGTCAGACTCTTGAAGTTTTTAAAATAGATTGGGTTTTGATCAGGTTGTTTCCTGAAGTATTCATGATTTCCTTTTGTTAGGATATCTTAAGAAATTTATCACATACTATATTGCTGGTCACTTAGAGCTCTCCCCCTGTGACAGGTACCAAGATGACTGGCTTAAGATATCAACAAACTCCTTACCACATTGGGAAAAGGCCCCTTTTGAGCCATATGCTCTGCCGAAAAATGTAAGTTTACAAGAAACTCGTATGTATATGTTTGTTTTTGTGCAAATTTTTTCCAATTGATAATATTCATGTGGTTCTTTGTTGAGTTTTGCAGATTAGCTATACCGTTGTATGCCCGGATATTGATCCTTTGACCTCTTCTGCTGTTGATTTCTTCCAGCAACTTGGAACTGGTGAGTCAACGAGTTTATCTGTTGTGATAGAGGCTATACTCAACCGTCTTAGAAACTGGTTACTCTAAAAAAGAAAGCAATTCTAGGGGAACAAAATTTCTGGCATTTTCTCATCATTTTCTCCTGATGTACCTTTTGTTGCGTAGTTTATGAGGCGTGTAGGCTGGGAACCCATTTGCCACAGATCCTGGGAAATCAAATGGAAACAGACGCTGGAAGATTATCCTCATCTGGATTTGTTCTACTTGATTGCCCTCAATCGATGAAGATTGAAAGCAATAACACATCGCTTCTGGGATCTCTCAGCGATTATTTTCTTTCCTTGTCGAATGGGTGGAATGTGAGTAGCTATCTGAAGTCTTTATCGAAAGCGCTGAAGGGTCTAAAGCTTGGGTCTTGCCTTTACCCAAACCAGAAAGAAGGATCTGGTAGTCCTTGCATGGTAAGTATGAAATAGAAAATACATATGTTAACTGAAAGAAGTATCTATTTGCCCACTTCTACTAAGTGTAGCTGTTGATACGTTGTTGGTTTCTACTTGTCTTTCAGGTAGTGTACATAGTGTGTCCATTTCCTGACCCTTCGGCAGTTTTAAGGACGATTGTAGAATCATCTATAGCACTTGGATCAGGAATACAGCCAGATAGAGACAGGAGATCAATACTTAACAGTCAGGTTGCAAGGGCGTTTGGTAGTTCTGCTGCTGTAGACGAAGCATCAATATCTCACATTCCAGTGCTTTCAGGGTTTAGTGTCCCTAAACTAGTTCTACAAGTGGTGTCTGTTGATTCTATTTTCCGGATAACAAGTCCAAGCTTTAATGAGCTTGTCATTCTCAAGGATACTGCCTTTTCTGTATACAATAAAGCTCGCAGAATTTCGCGAGGAATGCCTAATGATGCATTTCTCTCATCGTCGGTATCAAGCAGATCCTCTTCAGCCTTGGCACCTATGAGCTCTATGTCAGGAATCTGGAAAGACTGTGGTGGTTCTCGAATGACAGGTTCTACCCATCCAAGAGATGGTGAAGGTGGTTGGGGGGATAGTTCCTGGTCAATAGCAAGATCTGGAGGATTAAGCTGTGACCCAAACAGAAATGGAGATTTTTACCTTAATGATGAAATTTTCTATTTGTTTGAACCGCTTTTCATTCTTTCCGAGCCTGGTTCTGTGGAGCGTGGAGTCTCACCTACTTTCGGCGGCTTGGTTTCTGAGTCTTCAAAGCCAATACCTGAGGATGGTGGCAGAGGTTCTGGATCTGGCGTGAACTCAATGGAAGGTATATTGTCGGGATCAAGCTCCCATGGGGATGCATCCCAGCTCGAAGGAAAGGCTATTCCAAGTTTACATTGCTGCTACGGTTGGACAGAGGACTGGAGATGGCTTGTAAGCATCTGGACAGACGCCAGGGGTGAATTGCTTGACACCCATATATTTCCGTTTGGTGGGATTAGCAGTAGACAGGATACGAAAGGGCTGCAGTGTCTTTTTGTTCAAGTTCTGCAGCAGGGATGTCAAATCCTACAGGCGTGTTCCTCCCCTGACAATGGATCTTTCAAACCCAGGGATTTTGTCATAACACGCATTGGGAATTTCTTTGAGCTTGAATACCTAGGTAAATTAGCTTCTCTTACACCTCTATTTTACCTTACATCCTGTTCTTAATCTGAAATGTCGACCCTTCTTATTCCAACTGCGCCTTGATTATTCCGTGTTATATAACCCTGGTTTTGTTGTCTACTTGCAACTGATGTAACAGAGTGGCAAAAGGCAATTTACTCAGCTGGAGGTCCTGAGATTAAGAAGTGGCCTATTCAACTTCGACGTTCTGCGCCTTCTGGAATAGCCACCAATAGCAACGGACAACAGGATCTGAGTTTGATTCAAGAGAGAACCTCGTCAACCAGCACACTGTACGGCTCTCACTCAAAACCATCTACCTTTGTGAAAGGTAGTATGGGGCAATCTGCTGGACGAAAGCAGACTTTGGGTGGGCAAACCATTTCGGGCACTCCAAGGGGTTTGTTTCAGTGGGTTCACAGCATCAGTTTTGCTTCTATTTCACTTGATCATTCTCTGCATTTTGTTCTCCCCGCTGAGTTGGTATCCTCTGGTCAGTTTTCTTTTACTCTTACATATGTCCTTCGTGATCAACTTTAAAATCCATTAGAGAAGGAGCAATATATTAACTTGCATGGTTATTTGCGTGTAATTATTCAGGTGGCGGCCAGAGCAGTACTATGAGTTCAGTAAATTACATTGAAGGTTTTACTCCTGTCAAGTCTCTTGGGTCAACGGCTTTCTCTTACATGATGATACCATCACCAAACATGCGCTTTCTTCACCCAAGTCCTCTTCAACTTCCTACGTGCTTAACAGCCGAATCACCTCCGCTTGCTCACCTCCTTCACAGCAAAGGCTGCGCAATCCCTTTGTCTACTGGATTTGTTGTTTCAAAAGCTGTGCCTTCCATGAGAAAGGACTCGAGGATAAACATGAAAGAAGAATGGCCATCAGTTCTCTCTGTAAGTCTCGTAGACTATTATGGTGGTTATGACGAAGCCCATGACAAAATTCTTCAAGGAAACATGAAGCAAAGTGGAGGGACCAAAGAAACTAGAGATTTTGAGGTTGAAAGCCATCTTGTTCTTGAGTCAATTGCGGCAGAACTCCATGCTCTATCGTGGATGACTGTTAGTCCAGCATATCTGGACAGGCGGACGGCATTGCCGTTTCACTGTGATATGGTTCTGAGATTGAGACGTCTGCTTCATTTTGCGGATAAAGAACTCTCCAGACTACCAGATAAGTCGGGAGTTTGAAACAATGCAGGAGCATACAGATCAGTAAAGTTGGCTATCAGATGACGAGACCAACCTTTCTGCGAACTTCATTGTGCAACTCCTGCGTAGTTTGTCATAGCTAAGGCACTTAGGTTTCTCGGGCTAGTTCACCAGTGCCTTATACGTTATAAAGAAGTAGGAAGAAACGGTGTAGATCTACTAGATGTAGTCCAGGTGATTTGGTGCTTATGAAATCTGTAAAAATTAGCACTTACGGCTTGCTCTGCTGATTCTTGCTCACTTTAGGTGCATAGGTTAGTTTGTCTATTGCCCCTTGTATTTGTAATTTAACTTTGTTTATCATTCCCCTGTAAATTTGGCACGATATTTATATATGGGTTTTCTCAGGGCAGACTTACATTCTTGTATAACTCTGGTTACGTTTGATGGATAACATCATGGTTTTCTCTTGATCAGTCACATAATTGATCCTGACTGTTGTAAGAGTTTGTGCAGCTAAAGATCCTGACAGTAGACTCGTTTCTCAAAAGTCTCTCTATTCGTCTTCGTCGGGACCATCTTGATGCTATCTGTTTGTCAGCCTACAGATTGAAACTTACTTTGGTGTTTATAAGAGACCCTCTCTACATTATTGGAGTTTCACATGCGGTAAGCTATATGTCATCAGGTTTTGCTTCATAAAAGAAGTTTGATCAGTGTTTCTATGAACCATTGGACTTGTGATTATCGACACAAAAGAAGAGATGGAGAGTAATTGGATGATAAAAGCGGCGGCTACTTACAAAGACCGTTGTTTTTCTTTTCAGGCAAAGCATGAGAACTTAAATGCGGTATGGTCCCATACATGCTGCTGGCCACTTTCTTGTATGCATCACACATGGCTTTAACAGATTTTTGTCTGATACATACCACATACCCAATCTTACCCTTTAGTTTATTATTTAAGTAAGGTTGTATTAGACGGAAACTTGGCTACTCGGTTGTTTTGTTTTGGGTTCCTACGAATGTTCTTCTACTTAATTTCCAGGAAGATGATTTTTACATTTTGCATGTCTTTTTTAGGATCAAATGCTTTGTACCGAGGATATCAGTGATTAAGATCATAAGCCTATAGCATTCTGAAGGTTATCTGATGAGATATCATTAATTGTGGGGTCATCTCTTACAAATCATTTCTGAAATGAGTCACATGGAAACTCATGTTGCCTTAAGGCAGAATCATGATAATCATGATGATGTGCACATCAGAGTGCGCCCACATAACCTTCCAAATACAGCTCATCACATCATTGATTCCACCAACCCTTAGACCGTTCCAAAGTATTATCTTTCTCTCTCTTATTGATCTTTGTGTGAACCCAAATCAATGAAGTCTGATCTTTTCCAAAATTCCATTGACAGGCTATTTGTAATGCGTTTAATGGATCTTGTGGATTGATCAAGATAACATCATAGGCCATAATCACGGATTGTAAGATAAGAACTCATAAACTGTCTGATGAATTATATGATACATACATACATACATAGAAGCACATATAGAAACAGATGGTTACATTAAGAATAAAACAGTCTATAACAACAGAATCAAATCACACAAACTCATTAACAAATACAAATAAAATTAATGGAGGAAACAAAAAAAAGAATGATAAATGTGGGTATTCAAAAGAGTAAACCAGATGCCAAAGCAACAACAGATGCAAACAATGCTGGTACGAAGATAGCAGCATCAGAAGTTGGGCTTGGAGCCGGAGCTTCCACGGTGGCAGCCATTGCTTGTCCTACAGCTGAGAAAGCCACCGCAATGACCATGAAAACAACCATCATCTTCATTGACTCCATTACTTCTTCTTTTGAATGTATGAAGAGAGATTTTGTTCTTGTTTGTGTGTGTGTGTTGTGATGATAATAGTTGTAGGGATGGTATTGTCTTATTTATACAACAATTGTGGGTGATTTTACAGCTGGCTTATTGGCTGTCTCTTGCCCCAAACCACATTCTTCTCTTTCTCAACCACTGTCCCTTTTTTTCTTTCCAACCTCACAAATGATATTTAAAATGGTTTCACTAGTCGTCTTTGTTTTAAGTATTACTCCTATAATTTTGTGTGTGTTAACTATTTTTGCTTCTAGAAAATTAATAGTCCTAATTTATATTCTTTTTATGTGTCTAGATGCAAATTTTAAAGGGTCAAATTAGTCCAAATTAGCCGTGTTTCCTTGAATTTTTTTTTATTGGGCAAACTTTTCCTTGAAATTAGTGAAGTCTTTTATTACCAACGTTCACACCAAACTATGAAAATGACCAACTACCCCATTACAAAATAAAGAATTTATAGGTTTATTCACGACTGTTTAATTTGAATTTTCATCATTTGATCATTTCAATAGCATCTTCGTTGTGATTATTATATACAGAAAAAACAAAGAAACTGATTAAAAAAAGAAGATAACAAATAAGCTAGCTGGAAAAGCTAAAACAATACCAAATATACAATTATGAATGATCATAATCATATGCATTGATACTGGACTGTTTTTGTGGACCCGGAAACCATAACAAACGAAGTCTTTGTTGTTGTTTATATTTTTCTAATTTCAAAAAGAAAACTAGTTGTTGTCTCTCGTTTCTTTTGTTATTTTTTCTGTTGGTATTTTCAATTTCATGAACTACATATAATTCTCCTTCCTATTTAGTTTCTTTATAATTAATACTAACGGTTGAGGTTCTAAATATGTTATTACTTTAAACAAGGCTACAACGAGAAAGTTAGATTTCAAAATTTATTTTGATAATTTTAAAATAAAAGTTTTGAACTTTTCCAACAAATGCATAATGAGTTCCAACTTGTTTACTTTGAAATTTAGTGGACCGTTGGTGGGATTCAAATCTAGCTATTTTGTTTAAAAATCTAATACTTAAAAATACTAGATTTTTGTATCGTGGATATGATGATATCATAATGGTTTTATCTAGCGTAGGGTATTCAGTAGGCTTGTGCCCTACTCCTTTGCATACTAAGCAATGCATGTCAGTCAGGATTAGGGCAAGAAGCTGGTCATGACCTGATTCTCTATAGTATGGAGGTGATTCAGTCGAAAATGACAGCCTTGAGGAGAAAAGTTCATTTTGCCTCATTTTTACTATTTGTAAATTTATACAGAAACAAATATGAACATTATTAAGAGCACAAAAATAGCACTTGGCCGTTGGGAATTTCAGAAACAATAGCATAGTTTTTCCTCAAATGATATTTTTCAAACTGCATGCATACAGATGAAAAGGAATACTATTTTCATGTATATGATGGATGAAGAAAAAAATCTCAATAGATAATGAGCGAAACCAAAAATTTGAAAAAGATAATCAAAGCCCATAAATTGGGCCTATATCAGCCCAACGTTTCATTTTTCAAAAATGGTTTCAATCTAATCCCACGCGTATCTTTTATGCGTGAAAACCACTGCCCTAAAAGTCCAGAGGTGATTTATGGGCAAATCTGGAAAATCAGCTGTCACAAACGCGCCTGTTGCTAAATTCCTTTTACTGTCTTAACGCAAAATCTTATTTATAGATTTTCTTCGCCAGAAATGGAGTTTATTATTATTATCAGTGTAACGTGTTCCCGTCAAAACAATACACGTGTCGTAATACAATTTGTCATTATCCATAACGAATTTCTCGTAAATAACACAACAGGCTTAAGGGCTTTTTAACTTCTAGAAGTCCATCTGACCGTCTATTTCGTATCCTACGGCTGTTATTAATTAAAAATGAGCAAATAGCAAAAAGGTGTAATAGAAAATTAGAATTAGGAAAAAAAAAGATGAGAGCGTCGCAGTAAAGACCAGAGAGGGTAAGCAGTTTATTTCTCTCATGTGTGTGTGTTTGTGTTAAAAACAAGAAGATAGCACAACACAAGACTTGAGAGAGAAAAATAAAGACAGTGTTGGATCTTCTGGTCTCATCGAGAAAATCAATACAATACACTTTTTGTCTTTGTGGAGTTTGAATCTATCAATCTTCCGAGAGAAGAAAAGGGAACAGCTTTACTCTCACTTTCATTTTTTTCTATTTCTCTCTCTAATTCACCTAAAAATTTCAGTCTTTGGTTTCACTCTGTAAGTGTTCTCTTATCGTTTATTGCTCTCCCTTTTTTTTGTGTTTATGGCTTTTCTAAAATACAATGGTGGATTTGAGTTCTGGATAATCGATTCTGCAGTAAACAATTTTAAAATTGGATATCTGTAAATTCAAATTATAGATTGTTCACTTTATTTTTCGAGTTTTCCAATGCTATTTTGGATATTGCTGCTTTGTAGGGTGATTCTGGTAGCTAAAGTTGCAGATCTTGAGGTTAGTGAATAGTGAGTCTTGTCTCTATAAACTAGAATCAGATTGGTCTTCTTAAATCTGTGGTTCAAAATTTAATTCAACTAATTATTAGAAGTCAGAAACTTGTATGATTGTTACCAGAAATGTGAATTGATTTTTTTCCCCTTTTGTGTGCATTTTTACGAAAAGATTTGTTGTCTATTTCTGGAAGAATGAGGTGTAAATATCTGAGCTTATCTCTCTTTGTTGGTTGTGTAAAAAAAAGGTCAAGAGAGTTGTGTAATGGAGGAAGTGAAGGGACAGAGAGGAAGTGGAAGCACAGAGGCAGACTTTGTGTTGCAATGGGGAGAGAGGAAAAGAGTTCGATGCATGAAAGTGAAGAAAGACAAAAGCCTTATGAATGGCAAGTCCACTGATTGTTTGTCTAAGCGTAAACTCCTTTCTCGTGCTGCCTCTTCTGAGAGAGGCTCTCCTTCTCGACATCTTAACCGTCCAAACAAGTAAGTAAGCCTGATTCAGACAAAGCTGTGTGTGGAGTGCCTTTTAACTAGTTGTTTGTGATTGTGAAACATTTGTCATTGTCTCTCTGTGGTGGTGATGATAGGATGATAGGTTCTCCAGTGAACGTGAGGAGATCGTTTGTGGCATCGCCTGAGAAGGAAGATAGATACTACACAACGAGGGGTTCGATGGGAATAGATGAGAGTGGGAAAGTGATGAAGGAGCTGCCTGTGAAGGAAAGCAAGAAGCAAGTGTGGCCAAAGTTGTTTATAACTCTGTCAAATAAAGAGAAGGAAGAAGATTTCTTGGCTATGAAAGGTTGCAAGCTTCCTCAACGACCCAAGAAGAGAGCCAAATTGGTTCAGAAGACTTTGCTTGTGAGTCATTTTTTGTTCTTTCGTGATTTTCCTTTTCATTGTGGATACAAATCTTATGGATATGTATGTGTTTACGCAGCTGGTGAGTCCAGGTGCTTGGTTATCAGATCTTTGCAAAGAGAGGTATGAAGTAAGAGAGAAGAAGACTTCAAAGAAGGTATCTGATCTTTTTCGTTTTCTCGTCTCCTTCCTCAATCAGATAGATAGTGAGAAGACTTGGTGATAATTTCTTGTTTGTATAAAGCGACCAAGAGGACTGAAGGCAATGGGGAGCATGGAGAGCGATTCAGAGTGAAGAAGAGTCGAACAAAAGGACCTTAAAAGAAGAAACATTCAAGATTTTGGTGAGGGCTAGAGAGAGAGGAGACGAACTCACAAGAAACTGTTTTGTTACTCTCATAACATTTTGAGACGCCTCTCCTCGTTATGGGCAACTATGAGGCACTTGTATTTTTTTGCTGATACAGTATTTTGCTTTTGAAGCTAATCTATAGTCTTCTTCCTGATCAAAATCTCTTCTTTTTATTTAATGACAAAACCCAAAACGATGACAAACATTGATCAGCGGTGAAAAGATCAAACATACCCTAAGTGAATCTCAGGAACCCCACAGTAAATATGGAATCTAAGCATGCATGTAATTTACAAGATCTCTAAGCACGTACAAAAAAAGAAATCGGCAAAAACTGTAGCAAAGCTAACACCTAACTAATCAATATTCATACTAATTTTTCACGTTTGGTCTTTTTCCCTTCAATGGCTACCATAAACGTTTCATACGATAAACCAAAACCTAATTTTGTTTAGGACAAATCGTAAACTATGAGATGCTCCCATTCTCTTAGTTTAGTTTTTGATCTGGAACATTTTAAGAGTATGTGGAAGATAATGATGAAGATCATATGACTATAGAAACAATATTGTGTCTTGACTGGAGAAGTTTGATTAGTCAATACACAGTGTTTATGATTTTTGAACAATTGTCGTGGAAGAAACCTGTGTTTATTTTGATGAATCTTTTTGAAATTGAGAAAATTGTGAAAATTTAGAGTTTATCCTATACATTTTCTCAAAGGTGAACTCACAAACAGCTCCAAACATTGACAAAGATGGTCCAAATATGCACATTTAAAACATCAAACCCACCTGCAAAAGTTAGAACTAATTTGAGGAGTCATGTTTTTATAATAGTTATTAGGTTTTAGATCAAACATGAATAAATTACAAACTAAAGGCAACACTTCAAGTACCTAAGTTTATAAAAAACAATTAAGAATAGATAGCGTACCTTCGATGGTTCGTCCGCTTAGACATGCTTGGACCTTCCATGATGGTTGGTGCTTAGACATTATTGGGTTTAAGTTTCATAGAAATCCTAGTTGGAAAAATTACAATCGTATCAAAATTAAAACCCAGTGAAAGTCAAATCAGTCGCGAATGATAAGCTAGTGAATTCAGATAAACCCTAATTGGAAAATTTTAAACTACATCAAAATTCGAAACCTACTGGCTCTTGAAGTGGAGACAATTGAAAGTGAAATTGGTTGCGAAGGAGAGGTATGAAGAGGAAAATGAGTTAGTAATTTCAGAGAAACCTGATTAGATCAAAATTAGAACTATAAATCGGATCTTAGATTTCTGTAACCAGAGAACTCCTACTACATGGCCCCTCAGTATCTTTGATTTCTGTTAATTTCGTGTTTTCTTTTGGATCTTAGAGATATATACTTTTCAACTTCTTTTGTTGAGTAATAACTGTTGAACAACAACAAAAATGTCTGTAAAATGGAAAATGAAAACAGAAGTGTTTTATGGGCGTTGGTGTTCAAGGTATTACTAGATTTGCCTGTCATATTAATGTGTTAACCTTTTTTTCCTACAGAGAAGATGAAAGGTGGTGTAACCTATACACTGAAGTTGAGAGGCAGCCACATTTAGCGACTCGGAAATCTTATATCCATGGGATTAAAGAAATCACAAAAGAATAGAAGAAGGGTTTGATATATTGGAGCACATCTTCTTCCCCTTGTAAATGTCAAACTATATTCCTCTGGTGGTGATATTTCCTAAGTATTTACACACAAAAATCCAGACTTTCCACACTTCTTTTACACGATTGATTAGTATATTTATAGCTGCTTCCCCCTTGGCCTAATAGTTGTTGACCCAATCCTTTAGAGCAGCTTGAGGTTGCTGCTGATAAGCAATGTGTGGATGTCCAATGGGTTCAGCCATAGTCGTTGTGGTCTGTGGCAGTGGCGGCAAGGTCTGCTATGTTCTTCGTGATCAACTTTTTTTTGTCCATTAGAGCAGGAGCAAAGATATAAACTTGCATGATAAAATCCTTCAAGCCATCTAATCCTTGAGTCAGCTGCGGAAGAACTCCATGCTCTATCGTGGATGACTGTTAGTCCAGCATATCTGGACAGGCGGACAGCATTGCCGTTTCACTGTGATGTGGTTCTGAGATTGAGACCGTCTGCTTCGTTTTGCGGACAAAGAACTCTCCAGGAGCAGGTGCATACAGATGAGTGAAGTTGGATATCAGAAGATGAGACCAACCTTCATGGCATGCTAGTTGGTGAAAAAGGAAGGAGAGAGCCAATAAGGGAACTACAAAGCTTCAAGGACAATGGAGGCTTTTGTGAAGACTGAAAGAACAAAAGGTGCTTCTTCCCCTGGGTGTATAGTGGTCGGCACAATAGTATAACCCTTAGGATCAGGATCCAGAACCATTTCACATGATATCTCACGGGAATTCACGTAGTCTGTTCCACCAACAGATTCATGAAGAAATATGTTGTAAGCAGCACGGCGTCCACGAGTTTTAAGAATCCTCATTCCAATGTAGAACAACTGCGAATCATGGCTTGATTGGTAGTTTCGAAATCCAGGAGTTGTTCTTGAGAAACCTACGCCCTGCAAGTAAGTACACATTGGGAGAATGAGATTCACTTCACCAGAGGATAAGAATGGTAAACAAAAAAGGTTTCCATCAAGAAAAAGCATGTACCTGAGTTAATGTGATGAAAACATGAATCGGCAAGGATGCATCAGAACCAGTAGCCCTCAGCCGGAACTGTGGATTTTGATGCCATGAGCTATAGTCTTGGCAGCCACCGGCACTACAACCTCGCCATTGGCCATTGACTGAATAGCGCATCTCACGAGGGTATACTCGACATACATATATTGATCTGAAATGAATCTGGAAATCTTGCCAAGACATCCAGAATATACCTTCGTTTGACTGTTGAACAGAATGCACAGGATCAGTACCAAGACATACTTAAGTTGAAGGAACCAGTGTATATTTATGGGAAATCACGCGTTTATGAGCACAATAAAAACTACCTGTGGAACATGCTTCAACTTATGCTTCATCCTATCACTCCAGTCTGGGGATGAATCTGACCAGGGACCATTCCACTCAACTTCATTGGCCCATGGATTTCGGATCTGAACAAGTCTGTGCCCATCCACCTCTCTCACCTGGAGACAGAAAGTAATTTCCTAAACCGTGTTCCCCTACTCAGCGTATCACAAATGCTACTAAAGCAACAGGGCATACCTGCAAGACGGAGTAAGCATGCCCTTGCACAATGCCACTGGAAGAAACATGAACATCAGATCCTGATGGACTTCCAGCACCAAGTAGAAAACCCTCTTGTTTAAAGCGTAACAGTTGAGACCATAATCTGCCACTTGCAAGATCAATTTGTGCTTGAGCACTCCTCAAGTCAATCTCCTCACCAGCACCTCCAGTTAGGTCGACCAGAGCGTCCTGAACCAGTCCCCCCTCCAGTGCTTCATAAGAACCATGGAGCTTGGCATATGCTTTCTCCACTATGGAGACCCAGAGTTCATTATTCTTTTTGCTCGTAGCAAAGGCTGGTTTACCAGGTGATTCACATGGAATCCAGTCATCAATAACAACGGGAACCCACTCACCCTGCAGGTTGAAAGCAGTTTAACTTGAAACCTCTGACCGTATGGAAATCATTTAGAGTAAGCTAAGAGAATCTATCATCAATAGAGAAAGGCAACGTAGTGAAAGAAAATTTTGGGATAACAAACCTGAATACAAAAACGAACAGTGTAGATTCCTTCCTCGTTATATTCAGGAGTAATGATCACTTCAGATATTCGTGAAACCTCTGTCAGAACTGCAACGGCACTTAAAAACCAACAATCGCCCAAACGCCCCTATAGAACAAGTTAAACCAATCATAAGACTAAATCTCTTGGACCATTCTTAAATCAAATGGGAACTTTTGTGCAATCAGAAGGAGGTATCTCATATCTAAAAAAGTAAATGACCAAACCTGGCAAACATCTGAAGGGTTTGCAGCGCCAGAGAACAGGCAGGCACCGGAATCACTACCGTTCTCTTTAACAATGGAATCAGGTCTCATCCATTCAGAAACAACCTGAATTATAACAAGCTCAAAAGGTTAGAGTGCTCATCAAGTTTTTTATTTTAGTCTACTTGAAGGGTAGATGAAGAGTAAAAATGTTCAACCAATAACAGAAGAAATGAGAAGAGATTCAGAATCCCAACCTGCAATTTTGAAGGGGGGTTTTGTGTATCTACAAACAAAGAGCGATCATTAGGAGGAAACTCTTGGTCAGTAAATTGCTTCTCGCCTCGTGCAGAGAGAGCTTCTTTGACAGCCAACTCCACTGAACGCATTTTTTGATTTATTTCTTCTTGCGTCTCCATCCTGGGTTTCCTGTATCTTCTTGCAAAGGAATCAACACTAAACAGAAAATCCCGACCTGATCTCCTTCTCCTCCCACTGGAATATTGTCCATCCCAATCTACATCATCCCTATCATAGAGATCAACATCGGCAGGATCACTATCCCAGCCATCAACCTGGTAAAGGAGAAAAAAAGAACCAACGGGAATCGGAGTGAGTTTAAACATTCTCCCCCGCAAACATCAGAAAATCAATGCAACAGTCAATAGGAGGAAACATACTCTGGGGGGTGAATCCGTCCATTGCCAATTGTCATCAGACAAATCAATCATGTCTAGGTCAGCCATGCCAATTGCTGCATGCAAAGAAGCGGCCTCATCTTCAGTTAAGCATTTCCCCCAAAGGAAAACATCCATTATATGCATCTTTGACTCTGCTCCATCACTATCTGATCTGCCGAATGCATCGACATCTATAGGTGGCCTAACACCCAACCACACTTCAGCGCCTTGTTCCCATATGGCACTACCAATACTTAGAGGTAGCCCAGTCTGGTAGCCATCAAACCCACCATCTATGTAACAAGTAGCCTCTCCCGCATCAGCGTCAATTGTGATCGTCACTGTATGCCACCTGTGATGGGAACAAAAGTATAAGTATGACTGAAGATCAATGAGAAATATGTATTGCAACTGGAATAAAAATCTGACAATGGGGAAACTGAGAGGAAAAACGGCAGACCTTCCATCAGTTATGCTGGTCGCACCAATATACCACTCTCTGGCAACGGTTGACTGCCTCTCACCTTTAGTGATCAACCTAAGCCCAACTTGGCCAGCCTCAATTCCTTGCTCAGAACCAGCAACCAGAATCTCCCAACATACTAACTTTTGAAATTCAGTGCCAAAAAGACACACAGGTCCAGAATCAGGTTGGATCATTGCTGTAATGGAAAAGCTAATCTTCTGACTTTGACAGACACTTGAGTCCATTTCGCCGCAATGTTTACCACTTATCACCGGTTCATCGTCAAGAACACAAACTGCCCCAGCAATTCCAGTCTGGTAATTACTTTTCTTAGTTAATTCTTTTGCAATCAGCGTCATTAGAAGATACACTTACAGAAGGCAAAAAAATAAAGAAATACCTGTTGTGCACGTCGGTCTAGTTGAGCAGTGCGTATCCTACGTGCAATACCCGAGACTCGCTCTCTTGCAAAGGAATCCTCAAGGACAGAATCACCCCCGACAGCACGTATTGCAGCTGCCATGGCTGCTGCCTCTCTGCTACCAGCATTAGGAATAGATGGAATAAGGGAAGCTTCAATTTCCTTCCATTTGCGCTCTTCCTTCTCCAAAAGAGCTTTCCTTCTTTCTTTACCTCTCCCTTCTTCTTCACGTCTCTGCATAAGGATTTCCTCTTCCATCTCTTTCTCCCTCAGATAACTTATGTTTACAACACAGAAAAAAAAAGATAGGCAACAAGTCTGAGTCTTCAGTTTCATTAAACCACATTGCTTAATTGATAGAAACATGTACCTCTCTTGGATAATTTCAAATTGTCTTCTATCCTCTGGCTTCCATTTACTGATTTTTCTGGCACTCAAGTCAGAGAACCCAATGCTATCCAAGAAGAGTCGCAAGCGTACCTCATCCTACAACATCGTGATAATCTCGTCTTAGACAGAAACTAGAGAAGAATATATGAAACTTTAGGATCAGGACTCACCTGAACTCTCTCTGCCTTAGCTGTCAAACCTAACAATAGCAACAAATAACCACCAAACTTGTCCCACATATACACCCATTCTGTATCAATTGCCTCTTCCAGAGCCAAAACCCTTGCATGGGCACACATGTCTCTTCTGTAATCCACATTTGTAGATGGCTCGTGACGGAACCTATTTCTGCATTGCATTCTGTAGAAGAACGATCCAGCAATTCTTTCTTCATTCCTGAGACGATCCCTTAGTTTCATGACATCATCTCTAGGAAGCACAGAGTTCCCTGCTTTATCACGCATTGCAGAGGGGTCCCCAACCAGAAGAGCTGCAGAGCTGGCGGACCTTTGGGGAGCTGAATATGTACCGGATAAAGCATTTCTTGTCTGTCATTGCAAAAGGCGTAAGAGATTATGCATCCAATAGAGCTCTATTGTATGTGAATAAAAAATTACATTTTTAAGAGAAACACAATGAAAGACATTAGAATGTCACGTACTTTGGTGGCAGATCGAGAGATAGCTTGCACTACAGTATCCTTACTAAGAAAACGTACAGCAACTTCCATCATCTGGAGACCATTAGAAGGAATTAGCAAAGAGAATACATAGCAGATATATAATTAGGGAAATTGAATCACCAACCAAATATCTTTATTCTACGAAACAGATAGATCCAACAAAACTAACCTCAAGAGTCAAACACGGACGAGAAACAGCAAACCCAAAAGCTACTACAAGGGTGATAGCTGATACAGCAGCACCAGCAAAAGGAGGATATATTATCAGACTAGCAACAACTCCCCACCCTTCTGTTGCCAATGCAATTCCATACAGGACGAGAAATGCAGCACTGAAGAAATCCCCAATGCATTCATAACAAAAGAATATGAAACTTCATCAGCTTAATCTTTAATGGTCACGATTTCAGAACAGCAAACAAAAATATTAAGAACAACTGTTTAGAGTAGTCAAGTGGCTGAGCATACCTGACATTCTTTCCACAATCTGCATGAGCATCATAAACATACACTGGTAGTACCCTAGGAGAATATACCACAATTGGTGGGGATAGAAGAACCTACGGAAAAAACTAGTTAACACACCGTTTGG